AGCCTCCCGGGGTCCGCTTTGGGGGTCTCTGTTGGGATGCTTGGTTCTTCACCAGCTCAGAACAGTTGTGTTTTTTGGCTTCCAATTTGGCCTCCACCCCGCTCGGAGGGCTCTTTTGGGATCAAGGTCCCGTGGGAACCTCTTCCCTGGCCTGCTCCAGGAGGAAGGAGGCCGCTCACTGCAGCCTTGGCCGGTGGGGGAGGCTCCCTGGCCCTCTCGGGAGCAGCGGAGCTGGGGAGGGGCCCGGCTTCACGGCAGCCCCTCAGGGGCCCGCGCTTGCTCCTTCCCCAGGCAGGGCCCGTCGGAGCAGCCCCGGTCCCCAGGCCTCGGCCCACACCTGCATCGCCACGGGCCAGACCTCAGCTCTGTTCTGTCTCCTGGCCCTGGGCACAGTCCCCAATGGGCGGTTGAGCTGGCGAGTACCATGTCAGCCAGGCTGTCTGCCTGCAGCTCGATCCACTCCTGCCCATTCAGGACGGTTGCAGACACCCACGGGGGCACACTTCTGGCCTGTCCCTGTCCCTGTCCCACTGCATTACAACTGCTGAACACAGAACATGCTCAGAGTGTTGACGAACGTACAGAGGAAAGAACAAAACGCACATCCTGAGAAAACACCAGGCGCACATACGTCGAGGGACCTCTCTGCGGTGCCACCCGACCCAGGTGATCACTATGCTCCAAGAGCAGGGAGCCGAGCGTGGGGGGGCCGGGGCACAGCTCCGTGTGCTGGGCGCCGGGCAGGCGCAGCATCTATGGAAGATCAAGGAAGAAAATGTGGCCACCGGAGGCTTACAGATACATTATTAAAAGGTAACAATAGCCAAAGAAACAGTTTTTAGAAGAACAAAACACTTCTTACGGGGAGGAATGTTTTATCCCCGACATTGTCTGCACTTGGCAGCTCCAGGCTACAATGAAAGCAGGCGGGCGGAGCTGGTTTTGCAGTCGCTCCCTTCTCGTGCCCGTGTCAGACGGTCTGCCGGGCACCCTGGCCCGGCTAGCACTGCCCGTTCCTGACTCAGTGTGGGCACGGCTGTCCCCGCGCCCTTCCTGAGCCAGCCACGCCCCCTGCCTCCCCCTCGGCAGCATCTTCCTCCCACCCGACACCTCCCTCTTTCCACTAGTCTGTCCTTTGTCGCCGAGCCTCGCTGGCCCAGCTCCCTTCCTGCCTAGGTTGAGTACAGTCTGGACACCGGGCACGCCTGGTCATGTTGCTCTCACAGGCCTGCGGGAGGTCCCTGGTCTTTCTGAGTGCACGAGTGAATGAACGAATGAATGAATGAACGAATGAATGTGTGTCCTCGGAAAGGCGTGTGCCTCCAGGGGTCTGACGGCCTTCCCCAGCCCCCCAGCCTGAGGACAGAGTCCCTCTGCAGCTGGAGGGCAGCGGAGGAGGGAGGGAGGTCTGCGGGAAGACCCCCTGCCCCTTGCACAGAGGAGGAGACCTCCTGCTTCTGCAGGTGACGCCCTCCCCGTGGCCACCCAGCCACCGTGAGTCACAGCGGGAAGAAACATCCCACTGCCTCTCCTCCAACACCGTCTAAATCAATCCCTACAGCCCGTCTGAAACGGAATCCGATTTGGCCGCCTCTGAATTGTCACAGACAGCCCGGGTGGAGACGAAGGTGCTGGTGGGGCCACTCAAGAGATGACAGTTAGGGACACCATCTCAGCCCAGCCTAGGAGGCCGGGCCCGGGCGCTCTCTCTCTTCGGGAATGAATCTGATGTATTCTTCTCAATGTCTCTTGTGTTGTCTCTTCATCAGGTCTATCCAGCAACTGCAATCAAAGGCTTCAACTTGGTTGTAGGAACCTGAGCTGGGAGAAGGAGGATTCATCGATCCTTCTACAATCCCACCCCATGGACTAAAGTGAAAGGCAGTTGAGGTCACCAGGCAAGCAGGTGGCACAAGAATGCTTGGATCCTTGGACCACAGAGAAACTGCAGAATAGGGAAACCATCCAAGGGCTTCTCCACGCCTCCACTAGAAAGTTCTCTGTCTCCTGGCCAGCTCCTGCTTCACAGGTATCCGCTCAGCGGACCATGAAAGGAGCAGAGATGGGCCTGGGCCACGAAGGTTACATAATTTGGGTGCGGGGGCCTTCTTGTAGAAAGACCGAAAAAAACGTAAAATATGAATTCAAAACTGGGAGTGCAAGTAGGTGAGTAGGAGCTTACTTAGAAAACTAAATCAGAACAAATTATAAAATTTTAAAAGCTTATAAATACCAAAACATCAAAAATTCTAGAAAAGTAACCTCATATTTCTATTAGCTGCCTAACGCACCTCTGTCATGGTCCTTTCCCTAAACTTTGCCTACCTATTCTTTGATCACCACTTTATACGACAACGCTTTTGTAATATCCTGTTTTAAAGGTAATCCAGTCTTTCACCTTTCATGCAGCTGACCCTTAGTCAGTTGGTTCTCGGCCGGGGGCGTTTCTGGTTGTCGTGACATCTGTTATGAGCAGGACAGTCCTAAGAGGCTTAGTGACAGCTGAGAAGAACTCTGGACTAAGGACCTGCCCACTCGGGGTCCTCCTTCCACAGAGCAGCTGCCTCTTGCCTGCCTGCATCACCTACCGGACTGGGTCACCCCCTGGGAAAGGGCCCCCACGGTCACCTGCGGGCATACAGGAGGTGTTGAGGCCTCAGCTGAGGGTCCAGCACCACACCGGTTGGCCTGAGCCCTTCAACGGGGCGGCGGGTCAGGGATCTGCCAATAGGCTGCCCCTCATGATGGAACGTGTGTGGCCAGGTCCCGTGCCTCCTGGTACCAGGCTGTCCTGGGTGTAAACAGGCATAGCAACAGCACTGGCCTTGCGTGGTGCTGCCGTGAGAACCAGGCCAGCACGTGGTGTGTGCTACCGTCTGAACCATCACCAAGGGAGTTCTGATTTAAGTCGCCACCCGAGTGGCTCTAGTCCAACAGCAGCAAGCCGCCTAGCTTCCCCCGGACCCCAGACCCAGGATCTCAGCCAGCAAGTGCCTTCACATGCTGCACCCAGCCCCACCAGCTATGCACCCCAAGCTGCGGACGCCGACTCCCGAGAGCCCAGGTGTCCTGAGTGTGGGCGTGTGCTTCCATGCTGTGGGCGTGCCAGGCAGGACATGTCACACTACCACGGTACTGGGGTCGGAAGGCGCAGGGGCCGAGGAGGGACACTGGTGGACAGGCACGAAGGTCCCTGAGCACCAGCTGGCCCACCTTCCTGGAGGGCACCCACCCAACTGGCACCAGGTCCTGAGGCCTCAGGAGCCCTGGAAGGCGGGGCTGGCAGGCTCGGAGTGGAGTGGGAGAGCCCTCACCCTCTTCACCTCTGTGCTGCAACGTGTGCTAGAAAAGGCCCTTCCCCATCGGACAAGGGTGCGCTCGCCCAAACACCAAGAACACCGTCGGGGAGAGGAATCCCGGGCAGGCAAATGTCCCATCACAGCTCACTGAAGACGCGCAGGTCCACTGTGGGTGTCGGCAGCCCCAGAACGAGGCTCTGACAGCCAAGAGAGGGGAGCGTGGGAGCCTGGCTCAGGAGATGGGGGTCCTGCTCTAAAGAAGCCAAAAGCAACGATATTTTGGAACACCCTCAACCTGGTGTTTGGGAATGGTCTTCCTCCCTTTCCTTCACGTACATGACACTATGATGCCATCTGCCAAGGGGCAGGGGACCTAATGGCGGGGAAGGGTTTTTGGAAATCACCAGGTAAAAGCCTGGCTGGGAGTGCAGCCAGGCACACGGCTGACACCAGGAGACGCAGGATGCAGAGTGGAAGGCGGCAGGCAGGCTCTGGGCGCGGGCGTCTCCACCAGCCCACGAGGCTCCCGTCGCTGTGGATCTTCGCTCCCGGCCCGGCCCTGCTCACGCCTCTCGGGCAGGTCTCCAAGGACCATCGCTCTGGCAGGCGCCACCTCTTGTCAACAGCTCAGCTGCGGGCACACAGCGTGTGCAGGTCCGCAAGGTGCCCATCGGAGAGCACAGACCACCGAGGGGACACCAAAGGCAGGGCTGACTGCGGGAAAGGACGCTGTGCTTAATCCCAGGACCAGCTTCAACTCTGGCTCTCCAGGCACCAGGCAGGCCCCAGGTGCCGTGCCAGGTGGGGTGTCGCCCCATGAAGGCGCAGGACAAGTGCAGGGACGGTGGTGTTTACATGCAAGCTTGCTCCTGGAAGCTGCTCAGAACTGATTAACCAGCTGCACGCAGGGCTCTTACCTCCCGATTCCAGTAAAACCCAGGCTGTGAGTCCTCTGCTGTTAGGACAATTTCTTAGTTTTTAGGAATGTTAAATGGTCACCGTCCAGTACTTCAAACCTGAGAGTTATGAACTTACAGGTGCAAAAGTTGCTTTCGGATCTCCATCAACTTGCATACCTCGGGTCTGCCATGGAGGCTGCCATACCTCAAGCTCAGATGGGACAGGGTGGGGACAGAGGTGGCTCCAGGGTCCTGATCCACCTGGAGCGTTCCCCTCTCTAGAGAGACAGAGGCAGGGCTTCCAGGAGAACAGGTCCCCTCTAGGGCAAGGCTTAGGTGGGGTGATCTCTTCCAGGCACTTTCTTCCAGTGAGCTGTGTGGGTTCCTAACTTCTCCAGAGTGTGGGCACCTCCAGGCCTGTGTGTGACCCCACCACGGCCCTTAGGAGAATCAGACTCTGCGTCCCCTGAGGGCAAAGGTCAGAACCTCAGAGTACGTGACTGAGAGCAACAGGGCACACATGTCCAAAAACATGTTGATGGTTAAGTGGATGGCTGTGTGAGTGAGTGAGGGGATAGGTGGATGAGTAGATGGGGTGTATGGTTGGCTGGGCAATTTGATGGGTGGGTGGATGGATAGATGGGTAGATGGTTGGGTGTGTGAGTGGGTGGGTGGATAGGTACGTGTGTAGGTGGTGGTTGGATGGTTGGGTGGGTGAGTGCATGGGTGGGTGAGTGGGTGTGTGGGTGGGTTTATGTGTAGGTGGGTGGGTGGATGGATAGGTAAATGGATGGGTGGGTAGGTGCATGTGTAGGTGGGTGGATGAATGGATGGATGAATGGATGGATGGGTGAGTGGGTGGGTATATATGTAGGTAGGTGGATGTCTGGGTAGGTGAGTGAGAGAGTGGGCAGCCAGATGGATGGGTGAATGGATGGACAAATGTGAAAGTAAACAATGTTTGGTGGGGGCTTCAAAGTAGGCCCTATGGCTCTCATCTTGCCCTTGGGAACCTGTAGGGACCTAGTTCTATGAGGGGCCAACCTCAGCACGAGGTCACCGGGGCCACAGCTGTGGCAGACCCAGGTCTCTATCCTCAGTGCCCAGCGGAGGGCCTGGCACACAGGAGGGTGATGTTGCTTGTGTTCAGTTAGCACCGTTACTGATAACGCCAATACATGAAAATCCAAATACAGCGCATGCCAGATAACCATTTGGTAGAAAAGAAATTTTAGTCACAACAGAATACTATCCAGCTAAGTTCTATTTTGGGACTAGTGGAATGTAATACATAAGACTACAGTCTTTAAACTAAAATATTAGCCAAGTCCTTTCCTTCCTCCCCACCCCCTTGCCCTTCCCCTTCCTCGTTCGTCCCTTCCTTCCTAGGAAAACACCACAGGCAACTCAGGGGCAAACAAGCCCCTGGAACAGCAATGTGGTAAGAGTCTCATTGCCTATGGAACCATGGCTCACAGCGGGTGGCCGGGAGGCTGTTCCGGACGTCCTGCCCCGGTTCAGGGCCAGCTGCCTGGTCCAGCTCCCAGCGCCACTTACCGGCTGTGCAGCCCTGCTCAAGTTCACCTCAGATATGGGGACACCCCCACCCCCGGGGGAGCTGGTCAAAGATTAAAAATGTGCACGTGGGTGGCACAGTGCACTCCATGGAGGAGGACACTCAGAGCGCCGTGGCAACTCTCGGAACTCCCACAATCGGAACCTGTTTGCTTCAAGCTGGGGAGGGCAGGACAGAGGGATCTGCCCAAGGTCCCACGGTAAGGACTGCAGAGCCACCCTAGCACCAGGGTTCTGGAGTCCTAATCCCAGGCTGCTCCCCCAGCTCCGGCACCTGCCTGAGGCTGCCAAATGTGGGAGGCACATGTTGAGAGAGGGGCGTCAAGTTTTCACTTCACGGATGAGCCATGCTGGCATGGAGAACCCACCACAGGACTGTGTAGGCCAGCGCAGCCACTGGGACCCCCAGGACCACCCCAGCCAGAGCCAGGCCCCCACATCCAGGCTCCCGGGGGCCTGCACATGGGGGAAGGTGGGGCCAGGCTTCCTCCCCAGCCCGAACCGGCTGTCAGGCAAGGGCAGCTTCCAGATGAACAAGCCTCATTCCCTGCAGTGGGCTCCACAGGGTAGCGGTGTCCAAGAGAAGAGATCCATCTGAAAGTACGTGGAGCTCACAGCTGCCCAGAGAGCACAGACTCAGCACACACATTCGGAGCCGATCGATACGATTTTTCCAATTGATTTCTAGATACATACTGCTCAATTTCTGCTCAAAATTATGTCCACTGCTCCCAACGAGAAGAAACTGCTTCAAAACCTGCTGGGCTTCACTGTGGGCGTCCTCGCTGGCCCTCGCTGCCCGTGCCCATGGCGAGGAGGCACCGCCGGACAGCGAGTGTGAAAGGCACTCACGTAGCGGGCAGTGCACACGAAACCACACTGGTATGCGAGGGTGAGATTCGGATCAAGAGCGACAACGTAACTGGAGATGTCATATTGTGTGACCTTGTGACAGGTTCACAGGCTGTTCTCGTGTACCGGCAGGAACTGCGTTTACTACCGTGGGATTATCTGGAGACACAGCACACGGCCCGAGAACAGCGCTTCTCCCGCAGCAACTCGCATGGGCACGCTGGCGAAGGCAGACCAGCGCGGGGCACCCAGGCAAACACTGACCACCTCCCCCGCCGGGACCCGCACCCCCTCCTCAGTGACCTTTCTACAGAGGTGAGAGTCCTACACTCATCTGGGAGAGGTGGCTTCTCTCCCGTCCAAGTGGGTCACCCTGGAGCAGGCGCTCATCAAAACAGGTGCCCAAAGCCTCCACAAGCACAGAACTTAAGGCCACAAAAGAGAACACAGGAGCCGGGTGGAGGCCCCCTTGGGGGTGTTCTGAGCCCTCCAGGCAACTCGCAACTCCTGGGCAACGTGGGTCTGGGGCCCACCCAGCCGGGGAGTCTCCAGGACTCAGGTTTGGGCAAACTCCTGCCGAGATGTGCACACCCCAATATGGCACTCGGGGAGGCACGGCCACACAGCTACCTGCGGCTCGTGCCAATGGTGCCCACTGAGGTGGTTCCTCCACAAACTCTGCCCCCGACAGGAGCTACGTGGGCGTGAGGGGAGCCAGGGGGCCAGCCTTTGGGGTCCTCCATGTCCTTGTGCCTAACCAGTCCCTGCAGGAGCGGCATGGTGACAGAAGTGTGTAAACAAAGCAACAGAACGTATAGGTTGACTCTCGTGAAGGCCGGGTGGGGGCTCACAGGGCTGAATCCAGGCTGTGCCGGCAGGGGGGCCGGCCACACCTGAGCTACTGGCATGCGCTGTTTGGGGTTTCTGCCAACTAAGGTGCTATGGTCGGAATGATTGTGTCCCCTCAAAATCCATGTGTTGAAATCCTCACCCCTGAGGTGATGGTGCGTGCAGGGGTGCCTTTGGGAGGTGGCCTGGTGGTAAGGGTGGAGCCCTGGGGAGTGGGACTGGAGCCTTGCGGGAGAGGCCGAGACCCCTCCCCCTCCGCCTGTGAGGGCGGGGCGAGACGGCACCAGCTATCAACCAGAAAGCAGCCCTCACCAGACACCGAGTCCACTGGCACCTTGGTCTTGGACTTCGGCCTCCAGAACTGCGGGAGATAAACTCCTGCTGTCTATAAGCCCCCAGTCTGAGGTATTTTGTCACATCAGCCCAAGTGGACAAAGACTCAGAGCAACTGGGACGCACACGGACTCAGCTAACACCCCAAAGACCAGCCATGCGGTCTCAAAGGACGGGCCTGTGCCAAGGCCAGCCTCCCGAATCTCAGGACAGCGTGGCTGGAGGACCTGAGTCGCACGGCACCTGCACATCTCCAGGGAAACACGCCGCTGGCCATGCCCTGGGCTGCAGGTAATCACCATCCACGGCCTCACCTGTCTCCGGAGGCCGAGAGCACCTGGGAGCAGGGAGCGTGCGTCCTCAGTGGGGTACACACACCGCACACACGCACACTGCACAAGGGCGGGAGTTCGGTGCCGCCACTGTGCACGCTGCAGCTCTGGGCGATTCTTCCCCAGCCACGTGGGGGGTTGTGAGAGGACTGCGAGACGCCCCCACCTGGGCGACCCCACCACTAGGACCGCGGCTCACACACCATCTCTCCACAGGTGCCGGAGATCTTGGACTACAGGGGGAGGAGGAGGCCTCTCAGGTGACAGTGACCCTGATGATGACGCCCCACGGAGTGCCTGTGTCCCCTGCATCTGTGACAGCGCTGAGGCGGCCACAGTGCCCTCATCCCGTGTGGACAGAGGTGCTGAGCCCCTCGGGGGAAGCGACCCAGCCAGGCTGAAGCTGAGGGCAAGGCGGGGCCAGGCCCAGGCAGGAAGAAGCTCCGTTCGCTCCTTGCTCCTCCAAGCAAGCAGCCCCTCGGGAGGACTGCACACCCCTCGCTTTGCACTTCATCTCGGCCCGTTCTCAGGCTCTTTTGTGCCTGTCTCCCTTCCCCGACGGTAAGCAGCTTGGAGGCGCCTGTGAAGAGGCAGCTTGCCCCGGGCCCCTGGCTCGAGTTGGGCCCAGCGCAGCAGCGTGAGGTTTGCTCAGCGGTCCCGTGGTGACAGCATAGAAGTCACTCAGGGAAAGGGGGAGCCCAGCGTCGGGGCACTGAGGGGTGCCGAGCACAGGCCTCCAGTACCCCAAAGTGAGGGCGCCCTGGGGAAGCTGCCCGGCAGTGCAGGAAAGGGGGGGTGCAGGGGCGCCTCGCTAAGGGGCAGCGGGTGCTGCGTCTCCGCGCCGCTGGGGCTTGAGGCCGAGACGTCGCCCGCACTCCAGCGTCCAGTCTGACTGGACCCCACCACCCCGCCAGCCTCTCAGAGAATCGGACACACTGAATAAGAGAAGAGCAAACATTTTTTCTTTGCATGAGGAATTAAAAGATCAATGCAACTCCTTCTGTGTGCTTTATCTCAAAAAACAAACACCCCAAAGTTGAACTGAGAAATCCTGTCATGTTTGCCCTGAAAATCCTCAAACTAATTAGGGTGACAAAATGAATGTGCTGTACAGACCAAGGCTTTCTGGACTGGAAGTGGGTCCTACGGCAGCCCGAAGATTTCCCCGAGCACTCGCATTTCCCATCATTCACTTCACTGTTTTCTGCGCCCGCACGGAGGGGGGCCCAGCCAGGACCCCGGGCCGTGTCTGCTCGTGTCACGCTGGAGCCCTGCACGGGAGGGCTGGCTGCGCGTCAGGGACACTCACGGACACAGGGCGACGGAGAGGTGATCTGCAGTGACAGGCACGGCAGGGCAGGCCTGAGGGCTCTGGAGAGGGGGGTGACCGTGCCATCTGCCACCGCCCCGTCTGTGCAAGGGCAGCTCCCGCTACGGAGGGCCAGAAGTACGCCGGAGACACGGCAGCGACTTCCACAGCCCCCACTCAGCTCATGCGTGCTGGTCCCATGGGTGCGCACGTGAGCTGGGGAGAGCAAAGTGACACTCGGGGTCCCATGGGGGCAGGGCCTCGGGGCTGGAGCTCAGGACTCCCAGAGCCGCCTGGGAGCTCTGGGTGTGAGGAGAAGTGTTTACAGCCCCGCCTCCCAGCCCTTCCCACCAAACAAGCCTCCCCCCCCAGGTGAGGGTGCTATTTCACACCCATTTTCACCCTGTTATTCCATAGACAAACAGAGGACTCAAGCCTACTTTTCCCAACCTCCTACACCTTTGGTCACAGCGGGGGGAGCTGGGTGCTGCGGGAGAGACGCCCCAGGAGCCTGCCTGAAAAGACCATTGCCAGAGCCAGCGCCAAGTGGCGGAAGGGGCCTCAGAGAGCTTGGCGGAGGCCAGGACCACACGGCTCCCAGTGAAGCTGCAGAGGGCAGCGGGCAGCGGGCAGCAGGCAGCAGGAGAGGCCCGGCAGCTGAAACGGGAGACTCAGCGGGGACTGACTCTCAACAGGGACTCAGCACGAGCCCAGGCCCTGGCACTGGGTCTTCGGGCCCTTCCATGTCACTGATCTTCATTTTCCCTCCCTATGTGAGCATCTGAGAACCTCAAAGCCACTCGGCCCCTTCCTCTGCCCTCACTGGGAATCTGCAACCCATACTGGGCAACTAGCGCTGCCCTGACCTGGTCTCCCTGGCAGTTCTTCGGCAGGGTGGTCTTGCCATGCATGCCTAGAATGGTCCTGGCACATGAGGGCTCAGGGGACAGTCACCGAGGGAACGAATACACTGCAGGCCTTGCCCTGAGCTGTTTGGTGGCTCCCCCTAAGCTTCTGCTCCTTCAGGAAGGACCCCCTGGGGCCAGGGCTAGCACTTGGCTCTACAGGTGAGCTAGAGTCACTCCCCTCCTCCCCGGCACGGCTGCCGGGCCCTGCAGGACAAAGCTCTGCTGCCCACCCTCACCTGGGGCTATGGCCCCAGTCACCTCGAGCCTGGCTCTAGCTCTGGCACCTGCGGCCCCCAACCGTGACCCCCCGAGGGCCCGATCGCTGCCTTCTCACACTTGCCCTGAGCTGACCGCTGTGCGTACTCTTCGGTTCACTCTCACTCCATCCTCCCTGCCAGAACCAACGCTTCCCCGGCAGCTGCCACTCTGCCTGCTCACCCCACGTCCCCAACACCCGGAGTGACGCTGGCCTGCCACACGCCCTCAATACGTGGTGGCTGAATAAAGAACACGTGAAAGAAGAAATGGCCCCACACGGACCCTAACCAAGGTGCTGCGGGATGAGCCAGGAGGACATGAAGACGCGCCCAGCCCAGCCCCGCTGCCCGCAGGCAGGCCCCGCACAGTTCCCATCAGGGAGCGGCCCCTCCCATCCCGCCGGACCCTGAGGAAGACACTCGGCAGCAAGGCCACAGGCCTGGCAACCCCATTCCCAGCCAGGAGATGGGTTCCCAGCCAGAATCCCCTTCCCAGACCCCAGAGATGTAATTACATCTCGTAATTACATCTGGGGTCTGGGTCCCGATGAGGCTGCCCCTCATCGAGTGAGCGAGTCTGTGGCCACCCTCGGGGGGAGACGCAGCCTTGGCTGGAACCGCCAGAGTCTGGGCAAGGCCTGGTGGCTCCACTTAGTGTCGGCACCCATTCTGGCACTGGGCGCCCCGCCAGGCAGAAGGCTGTCCTGCCCAGGTCCCTCACCTGGGCTGGGGCGCTCGACTGTCAAGTCAGACACCAGGACGCAGGTAAGAGAGTGGGAAGGACGCAAGGGCACAGCACGGGGGTTCTTGCCACAAACGAACTGCGGGAGCTTGGTGATTAAGCCGGCTCATCCCAGGCTTGGCAGGAGGAGGCAGCCTGGGCGTGACACAGCACTTCTGGGGTCCTTCTTGATTTCTTTTTCACTCAAGGTCAACATAAAAACCTCAGGCACTGCCAGCCTTAGGCATGCACAGTGACTCTTAAGCCCACCAGGATTGACAATGTCCCTCTAAGTTTTGCCACCTGAAAACGCGGCAGTCTGGCCTGAGCGAGGCCTGCTCCAGCTGGGAGCTGGCAGGTGTGGGCGGGGCCGTGCCAGCGGTGTCCCAGCACAGCCAGTGTCCCTGCCAGCCCCCGCCCCCACCCCTCAGGCCGGTGTCAGTTCACTTCCACGCTGGACTCTTTTGGGTATCTGTAAAAGGCTGCAAAATGGGACAGTGACAGCTGAGAGGGAGACATTTTAATAAGGCCCGAGATGTAATTACATCTCTTCGGGGACTGAGCAGATGAGCTTCTCCAAGTTTATCTGCCTTAGATATCAAACACCATTAATGAGATAATAAGGGCCTTTCAATTAATGATTTGAACGGTGGGTGTAATTTTATGTTTAATGGCAAGACTGATTCACGGGCAGGAATGAGCAAAGGAGAGAGGCGGCAGATCCCCAGCTTCGGGGCCCCCGCCTCACCTGGGGGCGGGTTCCGCTGACAGAGGCACAAGTGGGGCTCCCTCTGGAATACCTGCAGCAGGTACGGGGGACGAGTTCCAGGCCCAGGGAAAAGGGTGCCAGGTCCTGGGGTCAAAACATTCTTTTCCGAAGGGAAAGGAAGGAGGGAGGAAGGGAGGGAGGGAGGGAATGTTCTCGGGAGACAACTAAGGCAAGGGCACTTGGACCTTCCGAGGACGCACGGGGCTGTGTTTACTGTGCTGCCAGCCCGAAGCTGCTGCTGATCAATGACACACGGGCACGATTCTCGGCAAAGCTGACGTGTGCGGGCCTGGCCACGCTGCAGGCGCCACGACCAAGCTGCACTGCCGCTGCCCTCTCGTCCCCTGCTGGAAAGTGAGGCGCAGTCTGAAGGGACCTGCCAGGTTCCTGCGGGAGCCAGAGGAGTGTCCTAATAGCCAGTGCTACAAAACCACAGTCACTTCCCAAGCGGTGTTTCAACTCTGCGGCACAGCTGGAATTGCCTGGATTTCACTAAGGCACCCAGGAGTGAAAATCAAAACCAGGACTGGCAGACGGCCCTTTAAAGTGGTCTGGGGACCCTCGGAACCACAGTCTCGCCCTCGGGTGTTGGGGCCCCTCCGGCTCACCACTGGCTCAGTGCCGGTCCCACCCCATGCATGCTAAAATGCAGCGGCACTCCACACTGAATGTGTTTTCTTATAGAAACATGAGGCAGGCTGGGTGCAGTGGCTCATGCCTGTAATCCTAGAGCTTTGGGAGGCAGAGGCAGGAGGAGTACTTGAGGTCAGGAATTTGAGACCAAGACCAGCCTGAGCAAGAGCGAGACCCCAACTCTAAAAAAAAAAACAGAAAAATCAGCTGTGTGTGGTGGCACGTGCCTGTAGTTCCAGCTACGAGGGAGGCTTAGGCAGGAGGATTGCTTGAGCCCAGGAGAATGAAGCTGCTGTGAGCTGTGATGATGTCACTGTGCTCCCGCCTGGGAGACAGAGCAAGACCTTGTCTCAGTCAATCAATCAATCCAATTTAAAAAAAATAAAAACATGAGGCAATGTTTATAATTTTGCTTCGAAATTATTTAGCAGCAAGCGATTCACATAACTTAAAACTGGCTATGATTTCTAAGGAGTCCTTGTGCACACTTGGGAACTGTTGTGGAGTGACAAACTCTAACCCACAATTTATGTTCAACTGTCATCGACTTAACATGACTGCGGAGTTGAATAATTAATGAAGTGGACAGGACGTTACTGATGCTTTTTGCAGACATCACCCAACATTTGCTGATCACACTTTCTGGAGTCCATTTTCTCCCACGTGTCACAGGGCACAGGCGGCTCCCTGGCCCGTGTGGCCTCCACGTCACAAGCTCACAGCCACGCTGGCGTAAGCGACGCTGAAATCTCCAAATGAACTCACCGTCCCTCCAGGGAGTTCAAGACCCCAGTTCAAACTGAACACGATTACTCAGCTAGAGTGACTGTTACTCGTGCCGTGTAGATAACGCGTTTCCACGGACACCGAGTAACCCCCGCAGCCCAGCAAGCAGCACTGCACCACAACCCATGTGATGGGGAGCATGAACCTTCGCGTCCGGAAGTGCGGTACGAGGCGGGGCGTGACGCCCTCCCCCAGGACACGGCACAGGAGCCGCAGTGGACAGACAGCCGGGAGCCAGGGCAGGACTCCCAAAATGTCCAGGGAAGAGGAAAAGGTCCAGAGGGTGGCAAGCGCACGGGCTGCCGGCCAGGGAGGGGGCCAAGGACCGACGCCAGTGGGCAGGTGAGTGGCCTAGGTTGTGGAGGGTGTGTGGATGGGATCAAGTGCACATTCTAGAAAGTTCTCTCTGGCTGCACTACAGAGAGTGGAGCGGAAGGAGGCAGAAAGGAGGGCAGGAGGAGCCGGCTCCCGAAACAGTCTGAGCAGGGGATGCTCTACAGGGCAGCGGTGGCACGGGGCCAGGAGAAGGGTTCAGGAACGCACACTGCACCTGCCAGAGCTCGTGGTGACAAGCTGCAGGGGTCTAGGCAGACCCCACCTCTGTGGGTGCCAAGCAGGGGCTACTAAAGGTAGGGTCAGGGCTGGGACGTCTCAGTTTGTCTGCTGGGGTCCACGACAGTGCCAGAGCAGAAACTGAGGAAACCACTTAAAACCTTCAGAGTGCCGTGACACTTCTATTCTACTAAAATGTCAGCATAAAATGAATTGGAAGAGAATCTAACCTGGTCCCTCAGCACAGAGCATTTGGGAAGTGCTGCCATGAACCCGAGTGGCCCCCTGGACCAGGGCTGGGCCACGCCCCCAATGCAGCTGGGAGCCGCACAGGTGGAGACCCCAGCAGGAGGGGCGTGCCAGGGCCTGTGGGGTGACTTCCAAGGGCTCGCTGGAGAACGGCTCTCAGTCACTCACACCACCAGTCAAATGCCACGAGAAAGGGCTAAGCTCTGATCCCTCCGTCAGGGGGGCCTCCAAAGGCTGTGCCCCCCGCCAGGGCTGTGCCCACCAAGGCTGTGCCTGGCTTCACTGAGTGCCCAGGGCCCAGCCCATGGACAGAAGCTATTCACCTTCCTCATTGCAGCGCAGAGGCCAAGATTGGTTTCTTGCCCCCAAATGGAGCTTCTTGTCTCCCTCGTGGTCACAGATCACATGGAACCCCCCCCACCCCCCGCGCTGGGGGACTTCCTGTGGCTGGAACAGCAGGGCTCACAGCTGTACGGGTCAGCTGTACCGGGTGGTGCTGTTTACTGCCGGCAGATTAATGAGCTCGCCTCCTACAGGCCGAGCAGGCGAGTCTGGCATTTCTCCATTTCTAGAAGAACCTGGAATCTACCCTGCTGAGGACACTGTCCCCCAGGTACATATGAAGTTACAGAAATAACATGCCACTTTCTGTGTGCGCAGATAAGTAGAATCAGCCTATCAGAGCAGGTGCTTCCCACACATGACAGAGCGTCCCTGTCACCGGGGGCTAACTGCAGACGCCTGGCCCCCCAGGCCCACGGAGTCAGAACCAGGGCTCTGGGTTTTGGAGAGCTCCCCAGTTCATCCCGACCCCCTGCGCTGGTGAACAGATGGGAAACGGAACAGACAGAACGCAGACAAGGTCAAAAATGAGGGGCCACCCAGGAAGCCCACCGTCCAACAGGCGTTCCAGAAAGAGAAATATGGTGGGAGTTTATAATTTAGGAAAAATTTCAGAGAAGAAAACTTTGAGTTTTCCAGACTAAAGGGACCCACTGATGGCTCTAGCAAGAAGGTGAGACACCGGCTGTAACAACTCAGAGTGTAGGGATGGAGAAGACCTCCCAGGTGCTGGGGAGGGACGCAAAGGTGGCAAAGACAGGACTGGAGTCGGGTTGCACTGGGTTGGGCGGAATGCATGTCATCTGGACAGGAGCATGTCAAAAAGTGTCAAAGTAGCAAGAGAAGGACCTGGGTTCAGGTGCCACGAGTGTTGGCGGAGCACAGGAGGGGAGGGGCCTGGGGCAGGTAAGGGCTGTGCCCAGTGGCCTGGAGGGCAGGCAAGCCCAGAGAGAGAGGGTGTCCCCACAACAGGAGCCTCCAGGGGACAGTTCCAGGAGAACGCAGGATGTGGGGTACTCGCCCTGCCCAGCTCCTTCAGAGACTCCCACTCGGATAACCTGGCTAGGGAGGAATGAGTGGTTCACAGCAGATGGAGAGAGATGATCGCAAACCCCAAGGAAAGGGAAACGCTGGACAAGAAAGGGATCATGAGCCAGCATGCCAGGTGACTGAGCATGAACGGTACATATGAGTCCTAACCGGGCACACTGTCTAACCCAACTGCATAGGGAGCCTGGGAAGAGGGGACAGGGCATGTGTGCAGTTGTGTGTTGGGGACCGTGGCAGGTAAGACAGCCTAATTCTCTTCTTCCCTTTTCTGTTGTAGAAATGCACTATCTAATGCTGGAAAATCAAGAAAGAGCTATTCAGAAAGAGAGAGAGAAATAGCAAACAAAAAGTAAACAGGACGCAACAGCTTAATGGGCTGAGTGGCTGCCTGCAGGGGTGGGAGGAAACTAGAAGAGGGAACTACTCTCTTTTGGTAAAAGAAAGTCTATCAGAGCTTTCTGTCTTTGAAACAATGTGTACATACCCAGCTTCGATAAAATAAACATTACATTGTTTTAAAGGCATGGGCTTGGGGCACGAATACCTAGGGACATGCCAGGCCTTGTCACACTCGTCTCTGTTCCTATTCCGCTGAGCTTTCTCTCTGGATGTGAGGAGAAGCCACAGACACTGGGAAACTCCCAGCTTGACTCAGCATCTCGGGGGCCTGTCAACTCCACGGGTACCAAGGAACCAAGAAGCTAACACTCTTTCATCTTCACTGTCACTGCCAGCCACGCTAAATCACTGACGCCACGCGTGGTTCTTGGGAGGCACGCTGGCACCCATCGGCGACAGGACCTTACAACTGCAAAACGCCTGAGGACCAGCACCCAAGAGGGACGGAACTCACTGAGGTGAGTTCAAAACTGAGAAGAGAGAGGAGTGACCTGGACATCCGGGAGAACGGGTGTCGCAGACACACGCTCAGCCCTCCCTGGGCGGCCAGGCCCGTGTGCGCGCACACAGGCACACGCTGCGAATAAAACCACGTGGAATTTCACTGTGGCCGGCGGCCATATTCCTTGGCCAGTCTCACTCACGCTGCCGAGTGTGGCCTCGTGCAGCGCTGGTGTCTCCGTGGGATCTGGGAGGCCTCGGGGACCTACTGCTCGAACGCAGAGCAGAGCCCGTAAACATCGCTGGATGCTAACAGGAGTCCGGCGGGGCCCTGCGGGCTCAGGTTCCAGCGGCTCCTTCTCCAGAGAGTGCAATCCACCACAGAGAGGGATGATTTAATAAAATACATAGCTACGTCTGAGCAGAGTCATGAGACAAAAATCGATTTTCTGCAGCCTTGTGCAGGATTCCGTTTCTTTTCCCTGAAAACTGCCGCCATGAGTTAAGTTATTAAAGGGAAAATGATCACAGCAAGCCTGGGACCAACGCGGTACCCGCCGCTCTCCCTGGAGGACAGCGTGCTCGGGGGGCCGCGGCCGGGGCGCGCTCCCTGACCCAAGGGTCTGGGTGGGGGGACAGACACCTGCATTAGCCAGCTCCTCTCCGCTCCCCAGCCACTCTGAGTCTCCACCAAGGGGGCCCCCTCCCGGACGAGGTGAAGAACTGGGGAAACACGGAGCAGGTGGAGGGGAGAAGGATGGGCAGGGAGAGGCCCGAGTCTCTCACACTGGGAGGCTCCTTGAGGCTGGGCCTGGGGCTCAGGGGATAAGGCCCAGACCACCTGCCCCAAACACAGCGAGCTCCAGGCTCTCTCCACGAGCAGGTGCCCCAGAGCGTGGACGGTCCTCTCTCTGCGGCCCCAGTCCCTTCTGCCGCTCTGGACAGGCACCGGGCCTGGCTGCTTGCGTTCTTTCCACGACGGACTCTGAGGCAGGTGTGCTCCCTCCACATGCTAACAAGGCCACTTTCCCTAATGACAGGGGAAGAGCAGGCCTGGCCAGGTGGGCCACCAACCACCAAAGGAGACTTTTCTTGTCATAATGAAAGCACAGGGGACACTGTGTCAAAAGAAATCAAAACAGATTCTAGATGAGTCTAAGGAATTTTCTTTATGGCCATTTAAGTAAGAATTTCCCAATTGCAAAGAGAGAAAAGGTTTGTCTTTCAGAGATCAAAAAAGGACAGAATCAATTTTTCCCAGGCCCTGTCTTCTAAGAGATTTTGAAGGTGTGTGTGCGTGCGTGTGTGTGCG